TGTCCCAGTTCTTCCCAACTGCCTCCTCACTCACTGGTCCCAACATTTCCTTCCTCTTATGCCCCTACAGCAACCCAGGACATTCCTGTGAAGGTCTGCTGGTAGCCTTTGGGCACCATAGCACCCTGAAGGGGCCCCAGTGTGAAAGTTAAGCAGGGTCAAGACTGGCTATGGTGTGGATGGGGGCCACCTGGGGAGATTAGGAGCTGGAGGCTTTTTCTTTCTCACTCGCCTGCTTGTCCCAGTGCGTCTAAACCACACCATGACTTTGGCTCCCTCTTTTCCATCACCCTGCAAGCCCATCGTGTACTGGAACCTCTCTGTAATGGTTTCTCCTAGCAGACCCCAGGCGCCATAGCACTCTAAGGGTGCCACAGCGCGGGAGCTAAACAGGGCCACGCCTGGATGGCGCTCGGATGAGGGACAGCCAGGGGTGACAAGGGGCTAGAAGCTTTTGGTGTCTTATTCCCATTGCACTTTATTCTGAAATTGAAAACGCGTCGCAACCACGCCTAAATCTCTGGAGAGCCCATTTCCACCTATCTGCAACCCAGACATGGCCACAGGGATCCCGGAAGGGGAGAGAGCAGCCCCGCGGCACACAGGTTGGTGGTACCTGGAAATCGCAGCAGGGACAGACTTCGAGGAGATGCACGCCTACCGCATCTCGGGAGGCCTGAAGCATCGTGGAGATCCATTAGGATCGCCCTGGGCATCCCGGAAGCTGCACTACAACTTTTCTCAGATTGGTTACCCCTGCCCAATTCTTGAAATTGCAGGACCATGGCGAAGATCCCCAGGAGAGGTGGGGCCGTGACCCAATGCCGAGGTAATGCCACAGAGGACCCCTGCTTTGCCAAGCCGCTGAGACGGTGGCTCCTCAGGCTAGGGGGGCGGTCACTGTGACCCGAAAAACTGCTCAACGCTGGCGCTTGTGCTGTGTCGCGCCAGACTGGCCAGCCGCAACGTCAATGCTCTCCAGCCCGCTGCAGCTGCACAGGAAAATGCTGGAGGCAGTATCTGAGGTCGCCCCGGGGAAGGAGACTGAGGGCCACAAGCAGCGCAGGAGCCCGATCTTCCTGACCTAAGTGGCTCCCTGAGTCGACTTTCCTGTTCCGGTCAGCTGGAGGGGGAGGGCGCCTCAGATCACGAGGTGGACACTCGGGACAGCTCTCCACAGGCGATTCTGGATCCGACCGCGTAGTCAGGGATCGGGTCCCAGGGGGCCGAATATTCAGTCTGGTGAGCTGTGGTGGGGGTTGCTGGACCCCAGAAACATGCCTGAGACCCTCGGGGAGGGTGTCAGCAGAACGTTCCCCGGCTCCATGACCTCACTACTCCCTTCGACCTGGGCCACCCACCAACGGGCCCTGCCTTGGTCTCCAGACACAGGGACCCCTGCTTCTCAGTACTGCTGTCCGGAGAAGGCGGGAAGAAACACAAAGTGGGAAGCGCAGTGTGCAGCAGAGGCGGTGACACCCGGAACTGGCCTCCCCTGGGGGCATATCGGGTGGAGAAAGCATCTCAGAAGCTTTCTGGGAGGAAGCCAACAATGAGACGGATGTCCATTGCACAACATGCTAAGGGATCTTAGTCACTTTATTTTTTTGACAGAAAATATCATCTTGGTGCAAAGCGTTTCGATCAAATAGCTTTGATAGCCTATACAGTACACAGAGACCCGTTGACAACTTGTCCTGTCGAGAGAAAAACAATTCCCAGTGTTAAAAATGCAGATTCTCACTCTTATGGACACCTAAGTTCAGAGTGTAACCATGTGTGGGAGGTTAATCAGTGGATGAAATCTGTTTCTGAAGGACTCTTTCCACTAAATCATATTTTAAGGAAGGTCCTACCCTGCCATTTGGTTTTCCATTTTTGCTGTGATGAGCAAATCATAAACATGGAACCTTCATCCCCTCCAGACAAGCTTTTAGCATCCAATGTACCTGACAAGATTTTCATTGTCTCCAGTTCCCTTGCAAGTTGCACATTCAGTTCTTCAATCTTCAGCCTGGGGAATGTGCAACATTTCCAGTAGGCACTTAGGGGATGCCAGTGCTTATGGGTCATGATATGGTCTGGATTTTTTTTTAACTATTCCTCAGAGAACCAGAGGAAGAAAACAAAGCATCATACTTGAGGGAGAAAAACACGAGGTTGGAAGAAGCTACCTACCTTTCCACAGCGTTACCTTTGAGAAATTTTTTCTTATACTTGTTTCCCTCATAAACTTATCCTGTTTTCCTTTATTAGCCCTGGTAGAGCAGGAAAGAGTTCCTAGAGAGAGAAGACAAAGCCGGTCTGTGTTGCAAACGAAGCCCCAGGCTGAAGACTGGAGATCTGAATGTGCAACTTGCAAGGGAACTGGAGGCAATGAAAATTGTGTCAGGTAAGTTGGATGTTAAAAGCTTGTCTGGAGGGGATGAAGGTTCCATGTTTATGATTTCCTCATCACAAGAAAAATGGAAAACTAAATGGCAGGGTAGGACCTTCCTTAAAATGTGATTTAGTGGAAAGAGTCCTTCAGAAACAGATTACATCCACTGAATAACGTCCCACACACGGTGGCACTCTGGACATAGGCATCCATAAGAATGAGAATCTGCATTTTTAACACCGGGAATTATTTTTCTCTCAACAAGACAAGTTGACATCGGGTCTCTGTGTATAGGCCATCAAAGCAATTTGATCGAACCACTTTGTAGTAGATGAAAAGGTTTTCTGTCAAAACAATAAAGCTATTAACCTCTGTTAGCTTGTTCTGCTTGGCTTTTTTGGGGGTCCTCAAAGACCATGCGTCTCGGGCTTGGCTTGGCCCTAAAAAACTTCTGAGATACCCTCTCCACCCAATTTGCCCCCAGGGGAGGCCAGTTCCAGGTGAGGCATCCTCTGCGGCTCCCTGTGCTTGCGGCTTTGTCTGTCTTCACACCTTCTCCTGACGGCTGTGCTGAGAAGCAGGGGTCACTGGGCTTGGAGACCAAGGCAAGGCCCCTATGTGGGTGGCCAAGTTCGAAGCAGGGCAATGAGCTCATGGAACCAAGGAACGTTCTGCTGACACCCTCCAGGAGGGTCTCAGGCATCTTTCTGGGATCCACCGACCCCCGCCACACCTCACCAGACTGGATTTCTAGCCCCGTGGGACCCGATCCCTGCCCAAGCCATCCGATCTGTAATACACTGGGCAGAGCAGTCCTGAGTGCCCACATCACTGTCTCAAGCACCCTCCCTATCTGGCCTACCCGAACAGGAAAGTCTTGACAGTCCCGTTGGGCTCAGCTTGTGGCACGTAGCCTCCTTCCCCGTGGCTACCTCCGACACCACCGCCAGCATTTTCCGGTGCCTCTGCGGCCCCCCGGCAGCAGAGGGACCACATTGCCCCTGGCCAGCCAGGTACGCCAATGCGCAGGCGCAAGCCGCGCGTGACAAGCGTGAGAACCCAACCGGGGCTCGCGTCACAATGATCGCCCCCCTGACCTGAGGAACCACCTTCTCAGCAGTTTGGCAAAGCAGGGGCCATCCGTGGCAGTGCCTCGGCGTTGGGAGACGGCCCCCCTCTCCCCGGGTCCGTCGCCACTGTCCCGCGATTTTAGGAGTCGCGCAGGGCGGAACCAGGCTGAGAAAAGCTGCAGCTGAGCTTGAGGGTTGCCCCTGGCGATCCCCAAGGATCCCCACGATGCTACAGGCCTGCTGAACCGCTGTGAGGGGTGCGTCTCCTTAAAAGCTGTCCCTGCTGGGATTTCCAGGTACCGCCAGCCTGTGTGCCTGGGGGCTGCTCACTCAGCGAGGGTCTTCCCGGCAGAGAGCAGAACCGCACAGCCTCAGGAGCTGCGTGTGACTGTTGGATATCTCTGTTTGTCTTTCTTTCTCTCTCTCTGTGTGTGTGTGTGTGTGTGTGTGTGTGTGTGTGTCTGTTTCTGTGTGCGAGTCCGTGTGTGTCTGTCTGTGTTTGTCTCTGTGTGTGTGTGTGTGTGTCCATTTTCCTGTGGATGTCTCTGTGTGTCTTTCTTTCTGTGTGTGTGTGTGTGTCTGCATGCGTCTGTATGTGTGTCTGTGTGTCTGTGTGCGTCTGTCTGTGTGTATCTTCTTGTGTGTGTTCACATGTATGTGGGAGCCCTGTATGCTGGACATGAGTGTGGCCAGTGCACTCCAGCACCGTTTCTCTGTATTCCCTCTACCTTCTGGTACCCATCTGTGCTTGGCTCAGCTTTGGAGCTGTGGGGCCCCGCGTTCTTTGTGTTGCTCCTGGTTTCTGAAGCCTTCGTGTAGTGGGGGTCTGGCTCCCACCCTCAGGCCTCTTAATCACCTGCCCATCCCGAGGGGGTCACTCCTCCAGAAAGAAGACCAACAAAGCACACCCAAAACCAAACTCTTCCATGGGCCCTTGGTCCTGCCGCACATATAGGTCTGTTACTGTCCTCAGGACCGCTTGAGGGACTACACTGTTGCGCAGGTGTCCTAGGTGGGATTATTGTTAAAAAAAAAAATTGTCATTCCTGTGTCAGAGTGAGCCTGAGATTCTGTATTTCGAGTAGGCACTAAGGGGATGCCAGTGCTTATGGGTCATGTTTGATATTTCCAGGAGCAAGTCTCAGTATTGTTCTTTGGAAGGAATTCTTGTAGATGTGGGGTCTGCATTTAAAGGCCTCTTATGGATAGAGTCTTCATTTTTCTTCCTAATTTCTTCCATCAGATAATTCAAACACACTGATTGGCAATATAGATGGAAACAGAGAGATAGCTCCTAAATTGTCTTTTCTTGAATGACTCATTTAGCAGACTCCTTGCTTATCTAGGGTCTAGGGACAGATTAAATGGTCTGCAGGTAGCCATGGGATGTCATCATAATGGCTTTGGTAGCATTAAGAACTGAAATCAAAGTAAAGTAAGAAAACATTAATAGATTTATAGTATCATGTCACTGTGTTGAGAATGATTTGGTACCTAATGTAGCTTGGGAATGATCCTTGATCTCAGCTGTTCAAGGAATTCCGGGGAGCAGTGCCTGCTTTCTCTTCCAGTATCTAAGGAACAGTGATCTGCATGTGGGAATGGTAACATCTACACAGAGGCTGTGCTGTGATTGGTGGAGATTTCTAACATATTGGCTGCAAATACGCAGGTACTTACAGTACCTTTCATCATCTGTATGCCTTCATTGAAATGGTAAATGTAATCTGAACTATAGGATGTGAATTTTAGCTGAATGTGTTTACAAGGATCTTTTCTATGGCATTCTAACTGGTTTTACCTGAACTAGGACTTACGAGCTGTGAGACCTTCTCCTTCTGCTCTTCTTTTGCTGCTGAAAACTCATCTCTTTCCATAAAGATGAATGCACCTGCCTACATGTGGGCAAACAATGAGTGTAGGACCATCCCAGGTTGAGCATTTCAGCTACAGAAGTCACACCTGACAAGTTAGGAAAAGTGACACGCTCTGAGTAAATCCTAATCACGGACATTTAGAAAAGTACATATAAAGTACACTTAATCTGTTCCTTTTTGTTTCCTATGGCATCAATGGTCACAAAATATAGTGGTCCAATAAAGTGTTAATGAGAAATAGATAATTTTTCAAGAGCCTAACATAAGCAACCATGTTTGCCAGTGAAAACTTATTTTTATCCTTAGTAACACATTCGGGAAGGTCTGGAATTGTGCTGTTGTTGTTGTTGTTGTTGTTGTTATTGTTGTTGTTTTCCCAGATAACCAGAAAAGGAAAACAAAGCTTCGTTCCTGAGGGAGAAAAACATGAGGTTGGAAGAATTTACACGCTTTTCCACAACCTTACCTTCGAGAAGTTTTTTTTCCTTCAAATTGTTTCCCTCATATCCTGAAGAGAAGAAAACATTCTTCTATTTCCAGCCCTTGTATGGCAGGAAAGAGTTCCTAGAGAGAGAAGACAAAGACGGTCTGTGTTGCAAACGAAGCCCCAGGCTGAAGACTGGAGATCTGAATGTGCTACTTGCAAGGGAACTGGAGACAATGAAAATCGTGTCAGGTAAGTTGGATGCTAAAAGCTTGTCTGGAGGGCATGAAGGTTCCATGTTTATGATTTGTTCATCACAGGAAAAATGGAAAACCAAATGGCAGTGTAGGACCTTCCTTAAAATATGATTTAGTGGAAAGAGTCCTTCAGAAACAGATTTCACCCACTGATTGACCTCCCACACACGGTTACACTCTGGACGTAGGTGTCTATAAGAGGGAGAATATGCATTTTTTCACGTCGGGAATTGTTTTTTCTCTCGACAGGACAAGTTGACAACGGGTCTCCGTGTATAGGCCATCAAAGCAATTTGATCGAAACACTTTGTAGCAAGATGATGGTGTTTTCTGTGAAAACAATAAAGTGACTAAGATCCGTGAGCATGTTGTGCTTGGCTTTTGTGGGGGTCCTCAGCGGCATGCCTGGACATCCGTCTCAGGATTTGGCTTCACCCCGGAAAGCTTCTGAGATGCTCTCTCCACCCCATCTACCCGGAGGGGAGGCCAGTCCCGGGTGCGGCCGCCTCTGCCGGACGCTGCACTTGCCTCTTTGTCTTTCTTCATACCTTCTCCGGACAGCAGTGCTGAGAAGCAGGGGTCCCTGGGCTTGGAGACCAAGGCAGGGCCCCTTGGTGGGTGGCCCAGGTCGAAGCGGAGCAGTGAGCTCATAGAGCCGGGGAACGTTCTGCTGACACCCTCCCGGAGGGTCTCAGGCATCTTTCTGGGGTCCAGCGACCCCCGCCACACCTCACCAGACTGAATCTCCAGCCCTGTGGTACCCGATGCCTGCCCACGCCGTACAATTTGAGATCCACTGGGCAGAGCAGTCCCGAGTGCCCACCTCACGGTCTCAAGCGCCTTCCCTATTCTGCCTATCAGAACAGGAAAGTCAGGACGGTCGGACTCCTGCCCAGCTTGTGGCAGGTAGCCTCCTTCCCCGGGGCGGCCTCAGAGAACGCCGCCAGCATTTTCCTGTGCCGCTGCGGCCTGCTGGCAGCAGAGTAACCACATTGACCCTGGCCAACCGGGCACGCCAATGCGCAGGCGCAAGTCGCGCCTGACAAGCGAGAGAACCCAACCGGGGCTCGCGTCACAGTGATCGCCCCCGTGACCTGGGGAACCACAGTCTCAGCGGCTTGGCAAAGCAGGGGCCACCCGTGGCAGTGCCTCGGCGTTGGGAGACGGCCTCTCTCTCCCCGGGATCATTGCCAGGGTCCCGCGATTTCAGGAGACGCGCAGGGCGGTTCCAGACTGAGAAAAGCTACAGTGGAGCTTCAGGGATGCCCAGGGCGATCCCCAAGGATCCCCGCGATGCTTCAGGCCTGCTCAGATGCTGTGGGGGGTGCGTCTCCTGGAAAGCTGTCCCTGCTGGGATTTCCAGGTACCGCCAGCCTGTGTGCTTCGGGCTGCTCACTCGGTGAGAGTCTTCCCGGCAGAGAGCAGAACCCCGTAGCCTCAGGGGCTGCCTGCGACTGTTGGATGTCTCCGTGTGTCTTTCTTTCTGTGTGTGTGTGTGTGTGTGTGTGTGTGTGTGTCTGTGTGTGTGTGTGTGTCTGTCTATAAGTCCGTGTGTGTGTATCTTTCTGTGTGTTATCATTTGTGTATGCGAGCCGTGTATGCTGGACACAAGTGTGGCCAGTGCACTCCAGCGAGGTTTCTCTATAGTCTATCTTCCTTCTGGTGCACGTGTGTCCTCGGCTAGCTTAGGGGCTGTGAGGCCCCCCCTTCTTTTTGTTGCTCCTGGTTTCTGAAGCCTTAGTGTAGTGGGGGCCTGGCTTCCTCAGGCAGGCCTCATAATAACCTGCCCATCCCGAGGGGGTTCACTTCTCCAGAAGGAAGACCAGCACAGCACACCGAAAACCAAACTCTTCCATGAGTCCTTGGTCCTGCTGCACATGTAGGGCTGGTACTGTCCTCAGGACCCCTTCAGTGACTATACACTATTGGTAGGTTTCCTACTTAGGATTCTTGTTAAGAAAACAGCTTGTCACTCCTGTGTCAGGGTTAGCCTGAGATTCTGTATTTCAAGTAGGCCCTCAGGGGATGCCAGTGCTTATGCGTCATGATTGATATTTCCAGGAGAAAGTCTCCCGATTGTGCTTTGGAAGTCATTATTATAGATGTAGGGTCTGCATTTAAAGGCCTCTTCCAGATATAGTCTTTACTTTTCTTCCTAATGTCTTTTGTAAGATAATTCAAACACACTGATTGGCAAGATAGATGGAAACAGAGAGATAGTTCCTAGATTGTCTTTTCTTGAATGACTCATTCTTTGGGCTCTTTGCTTATGTAGGGGCAGATTAAATGGTCTACAGTTAGCCATGGGATGAAATCACAGTGGTCTTGGTATCAGGAAGAATTGAAATGACAGTAGAAAACATTAATAGATTTATAGTATCATGTCATTGTGTGAAGAATGATTTGGTACCTAATGTAGCTTGGGAATGATCATTGATCTCAGCTGTCCGAGTAATTCTGGGGAGCCGTGCCCGCATTCTCTTCCAGTGTCTAAGGAACAGTGGTCTGCATGTGTAACATCTACACAGAGGCTGTGCTGTGATTGGTGGAGATTTCTAACATATTGGCTGCAAATACGCAGGTACTTACAGTTCCTTTAAATAGCTGTATGCCTTCATTGAAATGGTCAATATAATCTGAACTATACCATGTGAATTTTAGCTGAATTAGTTTACAGGGATCCTTTCTATTGCATTCTAACTGGTTTTACCTTAACTAGGACTTAGGAGCTGTGAGACCTTTTTCTTCTGCTCTTCTTCTGCTGCTGAAAAATTCTCTCTTTCCATAAAGATGAATGCACCTGCCTACATGTGGGCAAACAATGTGTGTAGGACGATCCCAGGTTTAGCATTTCAGCTACAGAAGTCACACCTGACAAGTTAGGAAAACTGACACGCTCTGAGTAAATCCTAATTACGGACATTTAGAAAAGTACATATAAAGTACACTTAATCTGTTCCTTTTTGTTTCCCATGGCATCAATGGTCACAAAATGCAGTGGTCCCATAAAGTATGAATGATAAATAGATAATTTTTCAAGAGCCTAACATAAGCAACCATGTTTGACGGAGGAAACTTATGTGTTCCTTAAGCAAAAACTTGATATGGTCTGGAGTTTTGATGTTGTTGTTGTTGCTGTTGTTGTTTCCCAGAGAACCAGAGGAGGGAAACAAAGCTTCTTTCCTGTGGGAGAAAAACATGAGGTTGGAAGAATTTACGTGCCTTTCCACAGTCTTATCTTTGAGAAGTTTTCTTCCTTCAGATTGTTTCCCTCATATCCTGATCCTGTTTTCTTCTATTTCCAGCCCTTGTATGGCAGGAAAGAGTTCCTAGAGAGAGAAGACAAAGACGGTCTGTGTTGCAAAAGAAGCCCCAGGCTGAAGACTGGAGATCTGAATGTGCTACTTGCAAGGGAACTGGAGACAATGAAAATCGTGTCAGGTAAGTTGGATGCTAAAAGTTTGTCTGGAGGGCATGAAGGTTCCATGTTTATGATTTGTTCATCACAGGAAAAATGGAAAACCAAATGGCAGTGTAGGACCTTCCTTAAAATATGATTTAGTGGAAAGAGTCCTTCAGAAACAGATTTCATCCACTGATTGACCTCCCACACACGGTTACACTCTGGACGTAGGTGTCTATAAGAGGGAGAATATGCATTTTTTTTCAGGCCGGGAATTGTTTTTCTCTCGACAGGACAAGTTGACAACGGGTCTCCGTGTATAGGCCATTAAAGCAATTTGATCGAAACACTTTGTAGCAAGTTGATGATGTTTTTTGTGAAAACAATAAAGTGACTAAGATCCGTGAGCATGTTGTGCTTGGCTTTCGTGTGGTCCTCAGCGGCATGCCTGAAAATTCGTCTCGGGATTTGGCTTCGCCCCAGAAAGCTTCTGAGACGCTGTCTTCACTCTATCTGCCCCCAGGGGAGGCCGGTTCCGGGTGCAGCCGCCTCTGCAGCTGGCTGCGCTTGCCGCTTTGTCTTTCTTCACACCTTCTCCGGACAGCAGTGCTGAGAAGCAGGAGTCCCTGGGCTTGGAGACCAAGGCAGGGCCCCTTGCTGGATGGCCCAGGTCAAAGCGGTGCAGTGGGCTCATGGAGCCGGGGAACGTTCTGCTGACACCCTCCCGGAGGGTCTCAGGCATCTTTCTGGGGTCCAGCGACCTCCGCAACACCTCATGAGACTGAATCTCCTGCCCTGTGGGACTGGATCCCTGACCACGCCGTCAGATCCCGAGTCCACCGTGCAGAGCAGTCCCGAGTGCCCACCTCTCGGTCTCAAGCGCCCTCCCCATCCAGCCGATCCGAACAGAAAGTCGGCTCAGGGAGCCACTGAGGTCAGAAACGTCTGGCTCTTCGGCAAATTGCGGCACGCAGCCTTCTTCCCCGGGGTCGCCTCTGACACCGGTGCCTTTGGCCAGCAGGGCACGCCAATGCGCATGCGCAAGTGGCACGTCACAAGCGCGAGCTCGCACCCGGGTCTGGAGTCCAGTGATCGCCCCGGTTGCCTAGGGAACCACCATCTCAGCGGCTTGGCAAAGCAGGGGCCCTCTGCGGTAGTGCCTCGGCGTTGGGCGATGGCCCCCCTCTCCCCAGGATCGTCGCCACGGTCCCGCGATTTCAGGAGTCGGGCAGGGCGGAACCAGGCTGAGAAAACGTGCAGCGGAGCCTCAGGGATGCCCAGGGCGATCCCCAAGGATCCCCACGAAGCTTCAGGCCTGCTCAGACGCTGTGGGGCATGCGTCTCCTTGAAAGCTGTCCCTGCTGGGATTTCCAGGTACCGCCAGCCTGTGCCGTGGGGCTGCTCACTCCGCGAGGGGCTTCCCGGCAGAGAGCAGAACCCCGTAACCTCGAGGAGCTGCCTGCGACTGTTGGATGTCTCAGTAGCGGACTGAGAGGGGGGGAAAAAGTCGCATAATAATTGGCAATGGTTCCAGAGATATTTCACAGTAATCCCTCTGGACTGACAGGCAGGAAGGGAGAGGCACGTCACATAAGATTGGCCCAGAGATATGTCACACTATCCCCTGAGGGCAGAGGCCACGCAGAAAAGTCACATAATCTACGTGCTCGACCCTGGTGTGACACCAGAATGCTGGGCCAGGGAAATGGCAATATCTCTTCATAAACAGGGCTCACACAGGAGAGTCACATCAGTTTTGCTCTAGGCTCAGTAATATGCCACAATTTCCACTGTAGACAGACTCCAGGCAAAAGAGTCACATCACCTTGTTGCTTGGCCCAGCAATATGTCGCAATCCCTTGTGTAGGCAGGGCCCATGCTGCAAAGGGAAGTCACATTACCTAGGTGCCAGTTCCAGCAATATCAAAATAACCTCTGTTAACAGAGCCCAGT